ATTTCTCATGGCATTTTGTACCTTCGGATTTTGCAATAAAACAGTCAATACGTTTTTTGTAGAGAATTCATCGGAGAATCTTTTGGTATAAAAATGAGCTCAATCAAAATAAAAATGTACAGATTAATGTGTGTTTACCTCGGTAAAGCCACTTTTGGGCCACCCTGTATATTTAAAAGGTTTGTTTGATAGTACTTAACGGACTGGACAAATAAAATGACGCCATTAAGAAAAAATTTTCTCACGTTAAACTTGATCAGAAAATTTCATTTTTATGTCAGAAAGATAGAGAATTGTGTCTGGATTTTATTCATATGTTATTTGAAAAATAAGCATGTTCCGTTCTTTTACGACAGTAACAATACTCGAAACCACGAAAATCTTAACTGCAAAATCAACTGGGAAATCAGAAAAATTCAAAATGCAGTCTTTTCCTCTTCAGCATTTTGCAAAAATTTAGTTCAGGGCCTAAAAGACGCAGAAGTTTTCAAGGTATCTAGCCGTGTATTGTTTCTTACACGCTAATTTGTTACTGTTCTGTAAAATGGAAAACAGCTAAAAGACATCTTTGACCGACAAGATGGCACTTTATTTTGGAGACTTCCTCAAAGTCATGACTTATAAAAATTATTGTTTTATATCAAAAGGTACAGAATTTCAAGCTGTACAAAATGTACTTCTTTCTATGAGCTGCATCGTTTTGGTAAGGGATGAGAGAGTTGAGATATTTTCCTTCGGACGGAAATGGAGGCAAACACAAATAATGGCCCAATTGTTGTAGCCTATTTTTACGACCCTAAAACACTATCGACAAATATGGTTTTTCTGCTCCAGGAATTAAGAATTTATTGTAGTTTTTAGTACTTTATTTGAATCGCGCAAGTAAAACTTTTATGACGATATAAATCATTTTTTTTTCAATGAAATGATGAGCAGGTGAGAGTTGATATTTGCATCCCCATTTGTCACGACAATCATTATTTGACGATGCCACATTAGTACTGTACTAAATGTAAGAAATTAACTTTTGAAAGTATCGTCGAGCAACAAGTGAATAACCACTCGTTCTACCAGTTGATTGCAAATGTAACTTTTTTAACGGCAGAAGGCGACTGTAGATAGCTGGTGAAATAAATTTAGTGTAGGTTAACAAACAAAAGAATGAAGAAAAAACGATGAGAAAGATAATTTTTGAATATACCTTCCAGTAGTGAAACAAAACTCTACAATCTCCAAAAATTTATCTCTTGAGAAGTAAATTATATCGTTAACTCTGCAGTATAGACAGGGTATAAGTTAACAAGAAACACATGTACTCCCTGATCAAACATTTTTTATTAGTACCAACCCACTATAAGAGTCTAAATCGGTCATCAATTGGTTATTTTCTACCAAATATTCTTTTTCCTCTAAAATTTCTCTCCATGTTCCATTGAATGGCACGTTTGCCACTTGATAGTCTCTGACATTCTTATCTGTAAAGTTGACAATCACAAGTACATCTTCCTGACGTACATATGCTAATATTTTCTGATTTACATCTTCATGTATAAATTGTAAATGGTCACTTTTTAATGCTGGTGATTGTTTTCTTAAATGAATTAATTTTTTATAGGTGCAAAATATTTGTTCATTTTCTTTCAATAAATTCCATTGTAATTTCATTTGTTTTTCATGTGGATTTTGTGTACCCAATTCACGATTTTCACCAAATTCTGTTCCATGCCATAACATAGGTAAACCAAAGGATGTCATTAGTAAAATGGATGCTAAACGAACGCGTTGAAATAGTTCTATAGGATCACCATGTTCTTGTTCCAGTCGATAAATAAAACGTTCATTATCATGGCACGAGACGTAATTGACAATATTTGTTGATGTCGAATAACCTTGACGTCTGCCATCAATAACAGTTTTCATTATTTCAATAATATTTGAAGAAAATGGATAAGACTAAAATTATAGACAAAAAAATTGTAGTCATGTAGCTTGAATTTTCTCTTTGTTCTTACTGGTTTTTGTAGTTCATCTTGTTTAATTGTTGCTTTGCACAATGTTTTCACCAGACCATCTTTAAATGTATTTCTCCAACAACCATCCAATGGTCCATGCATTGCCTTCGTGATGGTTGGTGTATCGGGTACATATTCAGCGACCGCATAAAACGATTTATTTGGTATCATTCGTCTCACTTCCTGATCAAGATATTCTAAAACATCATAGTGGCACATTTGTTTAGCAGCATCAAATCGAATACCATCAATATGATATTCTTGAATATAATATTTAACAACATCACTAACAAATAACCAAGCTGGACGAATATCTAATTGTTCATCATGATATTCATAATTGAATTCAGGTCCCCAATGATTAGGATCATCTGGATGTTTTCGATCATGATAAAACTAAAAATCGATGAATTAATATATTAGAGAGTATGGCAGTCGCCTTACGAGGAAACCTTTCGAGGTTATAGATCGCTTTTTGATCGAAATCTAGTGGATTATAGGTTATCGACCATGCTGATTCCGAATATGATTATGGGAGCTGCCCATGGCCGTTCTAAGATACAGTTTTCGGGAAAACTAGTTTTTCAGAAACTCTAAAAAATAATCAAACCCTTTCTTAATGAGACGTAATTGTAGCCGGTAAATTTCTGGTTAAAATGAGACATCTCCTAGCTCTACATGACCTTTCTTTGCAAAGTTATAGAATTTACAAGAAAAGTCTCAAAGCTACAGAAATAAGAACAAATTAATTTAGGGCTTTTTATTGCAACTTTCTCTTAATAACTCACGATTGTAGCCCACGAAGTTCTGATCAAAATGAGACATCTCCCAGAAATTTGCGGGCTACAACTATGTCTCTTTAAGAAAGGTTTTGGTTATTTCTTTCATAGTTTCTGAAAAACTGGCTTTCCAGAAAACTGGATCTTCGAACGACCGTGGGCAGCTCCCATAATCATATTCGAAATCAGTATGGTCGATAACCTATAACCCACTAGATTTCGATCAAAAAGCGATTTATAACCTAGAGAGGTTCTCTCGTTAGAGCTCACCCAATAATCCCTATCAATTTGTAGTAGAGAATGTTCCATGTGAACATGATTATACACTCCATCAATAATGACTCTGATTTTTCGTCGATGACATTCATCTACTAAATGTTTAAAGTCTTCGGTTGTACCATAAGTGGTTTTCAAAGAAAAATAGTTTCTTGTTGTATAACCCCATGTATGACTAGCAGGTGTTTCGAATATTGGTAATAGCTCAATTCCATTAATACCTAAAAGAATCCATGCATACGTGCACACTCATTTTGCTTCAACAGGATTTAAGATCTTAAACCTCGTAAACTCTTCCTCTGGGTACAATTCATTTATTTGAGTTATTTAGAAAATAGGGAACCAATCCGATTGTCATCCGACAGCATACGTTCTATCCGAGAGACCTTGAAGCATCTGAAAAGTGTGGGAAGGGGAGGAGGCGCAGCATCTTTTGTTGACAAAAGGGTTTTTACATTTTTTCTCATATTATCTGTTCTATAAACAAATCAATTAACTGTACTTTACCAACTGAGGAATGTATTTAGACTAACAAGATGGAATGGTAGACAGTATGGACCTAATTTCAGGCATGTACCCTGCGACCATGTAATAGCCAACACTAGAGGAAGACTTTAAAAGATTTAAGAACTGAAACTGAAATTTCCACGAAATTTCTGCAATTCGTTTCAACAAAGTAAGATCCGTTTTTTACCTAAATCTTGTAAATAATCTAATTTTGCAATAGCGCTTGTAAATGTCCCTTCTTGTGTAAAATCAGCAATATACAATTCATAAAGTATTAAATCTTTATTCTCGGGCAATTTGATATTATCATATAACCATTCATATTTGTCAACAATTTGTTTTCCTTGATCAATACGAATAATACCCGTTTGTTTATCCGAATTAAAATGTTTAACATACGGATCAATAACATCGATCCATTCTTGTTTATCGTTTTCTTTCTGTATTCGATATTTATATTCATAATCGCCATCCTCCAAATTGATCGAACAACGAAACGTACCATCAGATAAATTTTTGATCATAGGAATTTCATTCCATGAAGGAAAGGTACCAATTAATTTTGCTCGCTGTATATTATGCGGAGCAAATAATTTAAATTCGATTGGGGAAGGCATAAGATTTGTAAATGATTGAACCACTTGTTGTTTAATGAGAATAGATGATAAATGAATGCATAGAGTAGCATAGGATTATTCCGATCACTACAACTAAAAAATCATATTCTTTTAAGTATTTCTCAACCGTTTTCATGGGATAAGCATGAAAATGGGCAGGTATGTAATGCAACGGCATGTCACTAGGGTTCGCCTATCAGGAGATCATCTGGATTTACTGGACTCATTCAGACTGTTTTTTGATATAAGCGATTTATTTGAAAAAAAGAAAATGGAAGAAATTAGCAATTTTATACTGTCTCTACCCACCGAAAGAGAGACAAGCCCCATTATTATCGGCGATAGAGAAAACAAGAGCTACGCATATTGGGATAACAATTGAAAGATTTGGTAAACGAAGAAAGAAGAAAACAAGATAGAAAATGGAGAAAAGAATGTACATTCACGTTTAGTAATATATATATAAATATATATATGTTCCCGCATGGTTGTATGATGATACACAGAGAGAATAAGAAAAAACGAAAAAATGAAAGTAATAATCAAGGTGTGTTTCGAGACCAGAAAGCGAGTGAGGGAGGAAAGAACAAGGAGAAGAGAAAGATAAAGATTGCTGAACAGTCTCCACCTCTCCACATTTGCATGAACTTGTCAGAGCCAACGATTTTTTTGCGTAAATCAGCTTTCAAAATAGAAAAGTTAACCCGAAATCTACTGCATAACACGTCGGCAGCTCTCGGGATATTACGAACACGAAAAATAGACTGTTTTTTCTTTTTAAAAAAGTCATATGGGACTATTCCGATCATTTCAGCAACAACACAGCGAAACGATCTTATAAAACCTTTAGCATCTCTCAGAGACAAGAATAGTACACCTTTGGATTAAGTTACGAGTCGACTCTCCTCTATAACATATGGTAAATGAAATGAAATACTTTTAAAATATCCATGTTCTGTGCGTTTGAAGAGAACATTAGTCATTCTTCATAAGATTTTCATCAGGGATTTTACTCTTTAAATTAGTGCCATATTGTTTGTACTAATTATTTTTAAAAAGTAATGAATATGTATGTACAAAGATATGTAAAGAATCTTATGCCGCTAAGCCAAGATCGGTAAAATAATAACACCAGAAGAATTTAGAGAAACTCTTCTTTAATTACCGCCTTGAAATCATTCTTGTTTTCCGAGTAATTTTAAAGGTGTTGATCTGGCTTAGTTATTTGGAGTTCAAATTTGAAACTTCTTATACCATCGTATAGCTAATATTTGACTGTCTACGAATGACCAAAACTTTTTTAAAATAATTACTATAAACAATACGGTACTAAATTAAAGAGTAATATTCGAGGGGTGTCAGAATATCAGTACGCAGTGTATTCTTCAAAAAAACAGACTGTTTTTTTCAAACTTGCTGAGCTTGGTGAATTCTCGTGCATTCTCACTGAGAATACACCAGGCCCAGCAAGTGTATTCTCAGTGAGAATACACGAGAATATACCAGAATACGCAAATATATAACTTTCTATAAAATGTCCTGGGCTTGGTGTATTCTCATTGAAAATACGCAAATGTTCCATAGTGGCTCACTCTCATGCTGCACCGTGGGGGGGGGGGGGGGGGGGGGGGGGGGGGGGGGGGGGGGGGGGGGGGGGGGGGGGGGGGGGGGGGGGGGGGGGGGGGGGGGGGGGGGGGGGGGGGNCCCCCCCCCCCCCCGATCACTATATTATGTGTTGTCAATGAGAATACGCCAAGCCCAGCAAGTCCAGGACATTTTATAGAAATTTATATATTTGCGTATTCTAGTTTATTCTCGTGTATTGTCAATGAGAATACACCAAGCCCAATGAATAGTGTCTTTTTGAGAATACACTGCGTACTAATATTCTGACATCTCTGTTTCATTTTATCATATGTTATAGAGGAGAGTAAACTGGAAAACTTTGTCCAACGGTGTACTATTCTTTGAAGTCTCTAAGGGATGCTAAAGGTTTTACAAGAGCGTTTTGCTGTGTTGTTGCTGGAATGATCGGAATAACCTCATATGACTGTTTTAAAACGAAAAAACAGTCTGGATAAGTCCAGTAAATCCAGATGATCTCCGGATAGACTAACCCTTTTGATATACCGTTTAGAGGAGATCGAGAGCTATACACTGTTATAATCTTTAATTAATTTTGATCATTAATTAATACATACACACTTTGAAAAGT